ACTCTGTACCTGTTATTCATTGTGATCTGAAGCCTAGCAACGTCTTACTTGACAAAGACATGGTAGGACACCTAACTGACTTTGGCATTGCAAAACTTCTAACAAAAGAGGAATCTATTGCTCACACTACAACCTTTGCCACAATTGGCTACATTGCTCCAGGTGACTTGTAATAAAGTTTTTGATTAACAGTACTTAATCAGATGTATGCCTTATAAGCTCAGTTTCTGACGTGTTTTGATTTTTCTTTTCTAGAATATGGGTTGGAAGGCCTTATATCCAAGAGGTCTGATGTTTTTAGTTATGGTATCATGTTGCTGGAAACTTTTACAAAGAAGAAACCTAATGATGAAATGTTCACGGGCGATTTGGATTTGAAAAGCTGGGTACATAGTTCACTTCCTAATAAACTGGATGAAATCATAGATGCCGACTTACTAACAGTAGATGAACAAAAGCTTAATGAGAAGTTACAGAACGTGTTGTCTATCATGGAGTTAGCCATGAATTGCACAGCTAAATCTCCGGTCGAAAGGATGAAAATGACTGATGTTGTAGCAGCACTGGAAAAGATCAAGCAGCAGCTTTCTTCATGTTACTGATCGAATGGCTTAATGACATGACATCAGGTACTTTTTCCATATCACTTTTGGGAGGTAAAAAGGGAAGTTGTAAAGTTCACTAGTATTGTATAAGTAATTTTTCTTCAAATGCTTTTGCTAGAGACTGTTTGGCTATTGCAATTGTACTTCATTGAGAAGAGTGTACAGGCTATTGCAATTGTACTTCATTGAGATGAGTCTCCTGTACAATGTATTGCAAATTAAGGATCAATAAAATGTAATGCTTCTTAATTTTCAGTGAAGTGTACCTATTCTGGCCTACGTAAATGATCATCCACAAGTGTCATTTACCCGTTGCTTTAATCTTGTATCCAGTGAAATTGCGTGATTCAATCAGCACGACATCATAGAAGAATTGAATCATTCAGCACTACACTCTGTTCAGAAAATAATACAAACATAATTTTTGTATAAAAATGGTGCTGTAGAAACATTTCGGAAAAATGTTGAGATCGCAATTACCTGGTGCCATTTATAGAGTGTCATTGTTTGAGTAATAGATTGATTTGTCGATGATTAACAGTTTGAATACATAAAGAAGTGGAGTTAGTCCACACTACTTCAACAGGAAAAGTAAATTTGGAAATCATAAAGTTCAAATGCCTTAGTAGAATCTCACCAAAAGATTCTTCTTCAAGAGAGAGATCCAGAAACACCAAGCTTATCGATCAAGATAACCAAATGATCTCGGGATTGGACCTTTTAGTCTGTTATTAGCTAATCAAAACATAATGGAACCTGGTTTCTCGAAAGATCTAATTAACTTTTTGGTGACCCTCTAACTTCCCAACTCTAGTATACCAGCAAGAGAACTCGAAGTCATATATAAATATGAAAAAGAGTTATCAAATGGTTTCATAAACTTGATGTTTATATCAATTAGAGGCTCACAATCAATGCAGGAAGAAAACCATTTAAGCGGATAAATGTAGTCCCCAATATCTTCCCAAGAGGAAGCAAGGATAATTTCTAGATCAAAAGTCACTTCATTTACAAGTTCTATTACTGTGATCAGGGAAAAAAAATATGTTGGCGACATCAAAAGTAAGAAGGATAGAACATAAAAAGACCTTATAGAGATTTTGCATCTTAATTTCACCACTTTAACATCTCATTAGCAGTGGAGATTTGGTTAAGTAATTATATGTTCAAGGTCATTTTAGTTACTTAGCTAATAACTTATTACTCTAACTGATTGAAGTATAAATGAAGTTCATAAACAAAAGCAGGCACATGTTGATTGGCAAAACAGCTACAATAAGTTTACTGGGGGAAGATGCTTTTTCATGTGTTAGCATTTATTATCTACCAGATTTTGACTCTTTTTTCTTTTGCAAAAAAGTTCTAGCAAGATGACTTGCACAATTAATTAAGTTAATAACAACTGGGCTGTTTAAAACAACTAAATTATCTTCTCCTTTACTGTAAATCTAGTCAGTTCCAAGTTACAACCAACAAAAACATGTCCTTTCACATTCTATTAACAATGGAGAAAGCCTCGCCTTTTCAGCTTCTCGCATTTTTATTAACATCTCTTCACCTTTTAGCAACTTGCAGCTTGGCCATGAATATTAGCACTGATCAATCTTCTCTTCTTGCCTCGAAATCCCACATCAGTTCAGACCCTTTTCACATTCTTTCGACGAACTGGTCTTCATCTACCTCTGTTTGTGATTGGATTGGAATCACTTGTAGCTCTCGTCATCAACGAGTGATTGCACTGAATATTTCAAACATGGGTTTTTCGGGTACTATCCCGCCACAACTTGGCAACCTCTCCTTTCTTGTTTCACTTGATCTAAGCAAAAACAATTTCCGTACTGTAACTGGTATTCTTGTAATCGGTTTAATAGGTATTTTCTTTTATGGTTCATATTCCGGATTGGGTTCATCCCTGTAGTAATCGAATGAATTGAGTTGTCAACATGAAAGCGTGAACTTCCATCAGAATTTTCTCATTTACGGAGATTGAGAGTCATTAATCTTAGTTACACCAACTTCCGGAGAAATTCAATAGGAATAGCCACTCTTCCGAGTTTGATACGGTTTTCCATGGGATACAATAAATTACTCAATGGCTCCAATGTGCTTTCTAAATTCAGCATCTCAACACTTGAATATTTGGATCTCAGGAATTCTGGTTTAACTGGTGATTTCCCTTCTGATTTATGTCACCGTCTTCCTAGATTGCGAAATCTTGCACTCGGCAACAACATGTTAAGCGGAGAGGTACCAAGAAACATATCTGAATGCCAGAGCTTCAACTCCTAATGTTGTTTCAAAATAACTTTATTGGAACAATTCCAAGAGAAATAGGTAACTTGCAGCTGCTGCAACATTTAGATCTTGCAGTTAAAAGGTATGGCTTTACCATTTTTTTCTCGGGATATTAGATTTAAGTTATTTAAAAGAAATGTATTTTAGAGAGTTGAAGTGTTTGGACAATTTTTGAAAAAATGTAAGTTTAAATAGTAGCATGAGAAGATTTATTTGTTTTCACTAATTGCTCTGTCACTTCTCCTCTCGCTTTGTGTACTTGTAGCCAGTTTGACCAAGCTTCTGGCATATTCATTTGGGTTTAACTCTTGTTAAATATATGGATTTTATGTGATATTTCTATTTAACAATATGACAGGTACAATATCTGATGAGATCGGCCATCTTTATAACTTAAAGAACATATTCATGGATAAAAACTATTTAACAGGCTCAATCCCTTTAACCTTGTTCAACATTTCATCACTTGAAATGCTATATATGAACGATAACAAGCTTGAAGGACCTTTACTGAGACAGGTTGGAAATTTGACTATGCTTACCTGGTTTGATCTTTCCAATAATTACCTGGCAGGTACCCAAAAAAATCTAATTCAAGTCATGTTAGAATTTTTAGTTTTTTGGGATATGTCTACTGATCATAATCAGTACTGAATTTTTCAGGTATAATTCCACATGAAGTTGGTAACCTTCAAGAGTTGAAAGACCTTCCATTGTCTTACAATGAATTTAGTGGGTCGATCCCTATTGGTATCTTTAATATCTCATCTCTTGTAACTATTGGACTTACAGAAAACCACATTTCAGGTAATCTTCCGTCCACTATAGGCAATGGGTTACCTGATGTTGAAAAAATATTTCTAGGTGGAAACAACATTAATGGTGTTTTTTACCTGGATTTGAGTACATGTCAAATGAGAGCTTAGAGAAGTTATATTCTCGAGATTACTGTTTAAATATGATGCATAGATTGAATATCATGGTCGATGTTGCATCTGCCTAGCAACGTGTTACTTGACAACGACATTATGGGACATCTGACAGACTTTGGCATTGCGAAACTTTTAATAAAGGAAGAATCTATTGCTCACACTACAACCTTTGCGACAATTGGTTACATTGCTCCAGGTGAATTCTTTATTTAACTAGTAAAAATGTTATGGTTTAGTGGATTAAAAATGTTGACTTATTTCCTTTTTTCTTTTTAGAGTAGGGTCTGGAAGGCCTTATATCCAAGAGGTCTGACGTTTATAGTTTTGGCATCATCCTGTTGGAAACTTTTACCAAGAAGAAACCCAGGGATGAAAAGTTGGCAGGAGATTTGAATTTGAGAAGCTGGGTGCATAATTCACTTCCTTCCTGATGAATTGGATCAAATCATAGATGCTGACTTACTAACAGTAGATCATGAACAAAACTCAAGTCAAAAAAGCTGCAATGTGTGTCATCCATTATGGAGTTAGCCATGAATTGCACAATTAGTATTCCAGTTGAAAGGGTGAGCATGACTGATGTTCTAACAACATTGAAAAAGATCAAACAAAAGCCTTCTTCCTGTTATTGAACAACATGTCATCAGATGCTTTCTAATATTATTTCTTTTGGAGAAAGAAAAAGGTTTTGAAGTTCAGGACACAAAAACAAAAATAGGTTTTATGGACTCTTTTATCTGTTTGGATATCCACGTCAAAAATTGTTGTATGCTAATTAAATTATTACATATGACTTCTCAAATTTGTAACTCTTTGGGTATTAAAGAAAACTTTAATATTTATCATTTAAATGTTGAATAAAATGTATGTGTATATTATACATAGATAGAGAGATGAAAAGTCTTTTCAATTAAGTTGAGTTATGATTACTTTTAATAAAAGAATAAAATGATTGATCAACTTGTAAAGGATATTTTAGTAATTCAATAGATTTATCTACCCATTGAAATTTTTTATTTCAAAATTTGCATGACACTGTAGCTGTAATTTGTAAATATCAGATTCTGCAGAAATGAATTATATTCCATAGTTGTTACTCTGTGCATAAAATAGATGTAGTAATCATCTTTAAATAAAACTAATACAAGTATATACTTTTATAAACTTTAAAACAAGGCTTAGATTGTTATTAACTAGGAAACTTTTATTTCTATGCAATGAGAAGATGAGTTGTAACCCAAAGCTACCGAAGTTACCAATGTTCTATAAATAAGTTCATGACTAATAAAATTAAAGTAGGACATAGTTATATCAGCTGAAAAAAACTATATATAACAAAGTTCTACAGAGGAGTTTTTACTCCATTTCAAACACATGGCGTTGATGGCTTTCCTGATTACGCTCTTGTTCGTTGTAAGTTCTCATTTATCGTTCATATTAGCTGCTGATCATCTTTCTCAGCAGAGCAATTCAGAAATCTATATTGTTCGCGTTGAGTCATCTGATAATTTACATGACTACCACCAGTATTCATTATTTTCTGATGTGTCCTCGCGTGTAATATATTCCTATCGGAATATCTTCAATGGTTTTGCGGCTAGATTATCACCAGATGAAGTGAAGGGACTGGAAACGAAAGATGGCTTTATTTCCATAAGACCTCAAAGGGTATTACGAGTACAAACAACTCACAGTGCTAGCTTCTTAGGATTGCACCAGAATTTAGGCTTCTGGAATACGTCTAACTATGGTGAAGGTGTGATTATTGGTCTGTTGGATACTGGAATTTATCCGGAACATCCTTCGTTTGATGATGAAGGAATGCCTCCTCCTCCTGCTAAGTGGAAGGGGAAGTGCGAGTTTAACTTCACAGCGTGTAACAACAAGCTCATTGGAGCAAGAGACTTTTTGAGTGTTGAAGATGGGACGCCTTTAGATGAAAATGGGCATGGTACACATACTTCAAGTACGGCTGCTGGAAATTTCGTTGATGGAGCGAATGTGTTTGGCAATGCTAATGGCACAGCGGCTGGCATTGCACCCCGTGCTCACTTGGCTATGTACAGAGTTTGCAATCCAAGTGGCCTGTGCTCAGAAAGTGACATGTTAGCCGCGATGGATGCTGCAATTGAAGATGGTGTTGATGTCATATCCATTTCTATTGGTGGACTTTCTACTCCTTTTTGGGATGACAATGTTGCACTTGGTGCATTTAGTTCTATGGCAAAGGGAATTTTCGTAAGTTGCTCAGCTGGAAATGAGGGTCCAGGTAATGCTACCTTATCTAATGAAGCCCCTTGGATTCTCACTGTTGGTGCTAGCACGATAGATAGACAAATAAAGGCAACCGTGGCACTTGGAAACGGCGTAGAATATGACGGTGAATCAACTTCTCAACCAAATGATTTCCCTCCAACATTACTACCAATCGTCTACCCAGCATTGAACAGCACTTATTATGGTGCTTTTGCTTGTAGCCCAGAATCACTTACAAATGTTGAAGGCAAATTAGTGTTGTGTGGAGCGGGTGGCGCAACAGCAATTGCGAAAGGACAGCCTGTGAAAGATGCTGGTGCTGCTGGCATGATTCTAATGAACGAAGATATTGAAGGTTACACTATACCTGCACACGATTATGTTCTTCCAGCAACACGCATCAGCTATGCTGATGCACAAGATCTCATAGCATATATAAACTCGACATCAACCCCTATGGCCAGTATTTTATTTAAGGGCACTGTAATTGGAAATAAACATGCTCCTTCAGTTGCTTTCTTTTCGTCCAGAGGGCCAAGCAGAACAAGTCCAGGCATATTAAAACCAGATATTATTGGCCCGGGATTCAATATCCTTGCAGCTTGGCCGACCTCCATAGAAAACAATACTCATACAAACTTGACATTTAACATGATCTCTGGCACATCCATGGCTTGTCCTCACCTTGCTGGAGTTGCAGCTTTGCTTAAAAGCGCTCATCCAGATTGGTCTCCTGCTGCTATTAAGTCCGCGATTATGACAACTGCTGGTCTAGTTAATCTCGGCAATAATCCAATCGAGGATGAAAGACATTTACCAGCTAACATCTTTGCAATTGGAGCAGGACATGTCAATCCATCAAGAGCAAATGATCCTGGTCTAATATATGACATCCAGCCTCATGATTACGTGCCTTATTTATGCGGCTTAAACTACACAGATCAACAAGTTAGCGCAATTTTACAAAAGAAGGTAAATTGCACAATTAGTATACCCGAGGCAGAGCTAAACTATCCTTCATTTTCGATCAAACTTGGATCAGAGACTCAGGAATATACCAGGGCTGTGACTAATGTCGGTGAGGCTAGTTCGACTTACACTGTAGAGATTTCACCACCAGAAGGTGTTGAGATAACTGTAAGTCCTACCAGTTTGCACTTCTCTGAAGTAAAGGAGAGAATAACCTATCAAGTAACGTTTAAACGTTCAGCATCTAGTACTGTCAGCAACGCGAACTTTGTGCAAGGATATTTGAAATGGTCATCAGATAAACACTCTGTTCAAAATCCCATTGTAGTTATTTTGGAGTAGTGAAAGCACCATCAGGCTTCTCAATAAATTCCAGAAGATAATTATGTATACCTGCTTGAGATTTGAACTTGACTTGGTAACACAAATTTCCTTTTCTTCTTGCAGCAACTCTCTTTAATAATTTTATGATGGCATAGAGTGAACTTCAATACCAAAATTGAATTTGAAAAACTTAATAAGATCAGTGGGTGAAATTTGAATACAAAACCACCATAATATTATATTAAGTGATTACTTTCCCATATGGTAGGTATACTGGGTAGGTTTCTCTAATTAAAATTGAATTCTCCGGCAGAATTTGATAGTAGTGTTAAGAGTTAATTACATAATATCAGTACTTTTTTTTAATTACAAAAGTTCTTTAAATTTGATGGAATCTGGATGCGTCACAAAATGCCCCTATACATCGTATCTTAATTTTAGATATATCCCTTAACGTCTCGATATATCGCATCTCGATACAATTTGAGAGAGTAGGGATTTAGTAATTTTTTCAAATGGAATTTTAGAAAATAAGTTGTGTATTAGGTAATTTTTTTAAACCGAATTCTTAGTGTTAAGAGCTAGATACTTTTTATCCCTACTCTTTTTCAAATTACAAAAATTTCTTAAATTTGATAGAATTGGAGTACATCCCATAACATCCAAATACATTGCGTCCTGATTTTGAATATATTGTTTAACATTTCATACGTCGCGTCTTGATTTCAAATACATCACTTATACTTCGTATGTGTGTCAATACATTGCATCGGACCTATACATCACATCAGGATATATCAGAGAATAGAAGGGAGTAAAAATTCTTGTAGTTTCTTAAAATGGTATAAGAAAATTGTAAAAAATTTAAGTAATTAAGTAATTTTTCCTCTTAATAAACAAATGGTAGGAAACTTAAAAGATGATTGGACATAAGGGAAGTATGTATTTGTGTGTTAAGGTGATTAGCTTGTAAAAATATAATTCATTTCGTTTCGTCCATTTAAATTTGAGTAAATCATTATGGAAAAATATGCATTTGTATGTAGAGGCCATTTCAGTTTAATCCATCAAAAATTGGAGTGCGGTGTAATCTGAAAAATTTTGTTAAAATATTTATAAAGAAATATATTTTTATTTAATATATTATATATAATTTAAATAAAGAAAAAATAATTTTATTAGATACTAAAAATTATAAAAAGAATAACTTAAATAATTAAAATTTAATAAGAACTAAGCAAGTTGAGCCGCATTTTAACCTTTTTAATCAAACTACTTCTAAACGGGTAAATAATCCATTCATTTATCAATTCAACTTAGTTTTATCTACTCAATTGAGTTAACTCGCTTATTTAACATCTCTATTTATGCTACGTGACAAAAGTCTTTAGCCTGCAAATGATTGGTTTATACAAAACAAAAAAATACTATTAATTTCTAGTCGGCAACCCAAAAGGCTCCAGATGCCTACGCCTCTATGTGGCGTTTATTTCATAGCCCAAAAGGATTTTTAAATTAATCCAATTGGAACGTCGATACTAATTTAAAAAACAGTTACTTTCTCAAATAAATAATAGTAACTACTAAACAAAGAATATATAATAATTATCGTTAAATAGAACACCAGAACAACATCCACTAATTGATGAATGGTTCAAAGTTATAGGAAACCAAAATTGTTAATTAGTAATAATCTTATGTTATGCTTTTTAAAATTAAATATTCAAAAATTATACGTAAGTATTATAATTTTCATTTTTTGCATATTAATATGACAAAAAAATACATCGTAAAATGATAGTCAAAATTATTATAATTTGACTCTGAAATCGTGACAATTAAAAGCAGACGTAGGTAGCTCAAGTCAAAGTAACTTTTGCACTATTATAAATAGACGTGATTTAACATATTACGTTGCAGAGAAAAATTATTGAGTTCAGAAGAATACTTACAGAGTATGACTCCCACAGTAGTTTATCCAAGTGTTGTTTCCATATTTTTCCTTCAATCCTTGGTTATATTTGCTAGTCATGAAAACAACAAAGAGATTTACATTGGAGCAAGATATTTCCATGAATTTGGTAATGGGACGCCACTAGATGAAAATGGTCATGGTACACATACTTCAAGCACTGCTGCTGGAAATTTTGTGGATGGGGCCAACTTTTTAGGCCTGGCTAATGGCACAGCATCTGGTATGGCTCCGCTTGCACATGTTGCCATGTGTAAAGTCTAAATGCTAGTCTTATTTGTTCTGAAAGTGATATATTGGCTGCGATTGATGCTGCAATTGAGGATGGAGTCGATGTATTATCATTTTCCATTGGAAAAAATTCTACAAATTTTTGATCAGAGGTTGTTGCACTAGGTGGATTTACTGCTATGCAGAAGGGGATTCTCGTCAGCTGCTCAGCTGACAATGCAGGTCCCATACCAGGCTCTGTGTTTAATGGAGCTCCATGGCTTCTCACAGTTGGTGCAAGTACTACTGAGAGAAAACTAAGAGCGACCATACGTCTTGGAGATGGTAAAGAAATTGACGGGGAGTCAGCTTTTCAGCCCAAAGACTTCTCCGAGACCCCATTACCACTCATTTATCCTGGAACAAATATCAGTGATCCGACTGCTGAATTTTGCAGCGCGGAGTCATTGAAGAATATTGATGTCAAAGGAAAAGTTGTGTTGTGTACATCTGGTGGTAAGATTACTAGAATTGGCAAGGGAAGTTTCGTAAAGGATGCTGGCGGTGCTGGAATGATACTCATATATAGTGAACCCTTGGGGTTCACTATCTTAGCTGATCCACATGTTCTTCCAGAAGCACATGTCAGCTATGCAGATGGACTAAAGATCAAAGCCTACATCAATTCAACATCAAACCCTCTGGCCACATTTTTATTCAAGGGAACCATATTTGGAGATGATCATGCTCCAGCAGTTGCTGGCTTTTCAGGCAGAGGCCCAAACTTGGCAAGTCCTGGCATTTTAAAACCAGATATTATTGGTCCTGGTGTTAACATGCTTGCTGCATGGCCAAAATCCATTGAGAACAGTACCGACACGAAATCTACTATTAACCTTTTATCTTGCACCTCAATGTCTTGTCCTCACGTATCTGGAATTGCAACGTTAGTAAAGAGTGCAAACCCTGATTGGTCTCCAGCTGCTACCAAATCAGCAATCATGACAACTGCTGATCTTGTGAACCTCGGTGAAAAAACATTTGAGGATGAAAGGGGTGTTCCTGCTGACTTCTTTGCCACTGGTGCAGGACATGTTAATCCGTTAAGAGCAAGTGATCCAGGCTTAGTATAGGACGTTCGGCCCGAGGATTACGTTCCTTACTTGTGTGGTTTAAACTACTCAAACAGAGCAGTTAGTATGTTTATATTGAGAAAAGTGAACTGCTCATCAGCCATTCCTGAAGCAGAACTAAATTATCCTTCCTTTTCAATTGGACTTGGATTAGAAGCTCAAACATATACGAGGACTGTGACTAATGTTGGTGAAGCTATCTCGTCCTATGTTATGAAGATTGTGCCACCACAAGGAGTTGATGTGAGAGTTGACCCTCCTCTATTGAATTTTTCCGAGTTGAACCAGAAGAAAACATATCAAGTAACATTTAGCAGACAAGTACTTCAACCATCAATGCCACTTCTGTTCAAGGATACTTGAGACGGACTTCATCCAAGCACTTCGTTAGGAGCCCAATCGTAGTTACCTTAAAGTAGTGAGGAGGATTAATTTTCATAACAGTTCTCCATACAACAATAAGGAAATCTTACTTCTCTTTCTTAGTTAGTAGATCAGATTTACCTTCATGTACTTTTTGAAGCCACTCAATTTGGTTTCAAGATTTACTTGTCCATCTATTGTACGCCCCTTCGAATGCATATCGAAATGAGTATCTTTTCGTTAAACTTTACTGAAGTGCTGTAAAACTATATACAAATCAATACACGAAAACGATAACTACATGTAAGCTTTGTCATGGGTAACCTTAAAATAAATGGCAAATAACATGATTTAACTAGACAAACTACACCAACAGTGCAACAGCTATTCAAACCTGGCTATTTTAAAAGCCATTCGGAGGTGGATGCAGCTTTAAGTTATTGGGTTCATCTAAATCCATTACTTCCAATGCGGAGCATAAATCTGTGTGCATCCACTAAAATTCCAACAAATTTGTAGAGACAAGCCTATGAGCTTAAATCCTGAATCCGCCTCTGAAGTCAATACCTAGTTATTCCCAACTCATAGATATGATAATATGAACGTTTATCATCACAGACTAAATGTCAGGTGACACTGTAATAGATCATTTTCTAAATATTTCCCAGCCTGGGAAATTAGTTGACAATGAGCTGCCAATGCCTAGTCCTTAGTGATTAATGACACCTCTAAACTGTGTCCATAAGAATATGTTAATTTTAATTGCATAAATTTCACAGAAAAAGGTAGAAAAATTCAATGAAATAGAACCGTTCAAGTTTTAACAAATGTTACTTGTGAAATCTTCCTTTGTGCTTATTGTTTCGTTGGACTTCATGCTTTTGTAATTTCATTAACTCTAATCATTGTGCATTCACATGAACTTATCATTCATAACAGAATGCAAATCCTTTGTTGAAACCGAGCAAACCCCACGAATATTTTACTTTAACCACAAAGCAGAGAAGTGATTCTTGAAGTCATCCACAGTGCTTGTAAGCAAGTCCTTGGATTTATTTCCATCACATAAGATTCCTCCTACAATAAATACTCAGCCTGCAAATCATTGGTTATTCCCAAGTGAAACATGTTAGATAATCAAAATTAGTTTGCAGCCGCCTGGTTGAAAAGATTTTTTAATTGCAATAATAACCAAAACAAGCTCCAAATGGCTTGTCTTAGGCTTTCATTTCTTAGCTCAAACAGAGATTGCCTTTCAAGCCAATTGGAGAATTCAGAACCAATCACATCCTTCTCAAAACTTCAGTGTCACTCAAATTCTTTCGATTACTTGAATACTGAAGACACTATTAAAAAAATGATGACAAAACCAATCATAAGAAATTGACACTATATATATGTGGTTTACAAGAAATGTGGCTCATTAATTAGCACTGATAAACATGGATTTGGAACTTCTTTTAACTGTCATCTTTACTCTCAGTCTTTATTCTTCATCCATACATGCAAGTAATACCAATCAGCAGAGCAACAAATCAGATGTTTACATAGTCCATCTTGAGTCATTTCATGGACAACTTCTCTCTGACTTGGATAGTTTACAAATGTGGCACCATTATTGTCTGCCCCCAAAGAAAACGAGTCCAAATGATTCTGCATCCTCCCACATAGTTTACTCTTATCGCAATGTCCTTAATGGTTTTGCAGCTAAACTAACACCAAATGAAGCAGAGCTTCTGCAGGAGACAGAAGGGATCATATTAGTGCGGCCACAAAGACTGTTGCATGCACGGACCACCCACAGTACTCATTTCATGGGCTGCACCAGAACTTAGGCTTCTGGAAAAGTATAAACTATGGTAAAGGTATGATTATTGGTTTTTTAGACACTGATATAACACCCGATCATCCATCATTCAATGATGAAGGAGTGCCTCCTCCACCGGCAAAGTGGAAGGGCAAGTGTGAATTCAACTTTACTACAGCCTGCAATAACAAGCTCATTGGAGCTAGATATTTCAAGGAATTTGGAAACGGGACGCCTTTGGATGAGAATGGACATGGCACACATGTTGCTAGCACAGCTGCTGGGAACTTTGTCAGTGGTGCCAATGTTTTTGGACTTTCTAATGGAACAGCTTCTGGCGTGGCTCCCCTTGCTCATGTTGCCATGTATAAAGTCTGTGACGCTAGGCTGCTTGTTCTGAGAGTGACACATTTGCTGCTATGGATCTGCAATCAAAGATGGTGTTGATGTAATTTCTATTTCCATTGACGATATCTCTAGACCTTTCTGGGATGACTCTATTGCACTCTGTTCATTTACTGCAATTCAAAACGGCATTCTAGTGAGCACCACAGCTGGATATATGGGCCCCGAACATGGCATAGTAGCAAATGGAGCTCCATGGCTTCTCACTGTTGGTGCTAGCACCACTGATAGAAAACTAAGGGCAACAGTACTGCTGGGGGACAGTGAAGAAATTGATGGTGAATCAGCTTTCCAACCTGAAGATTTCTCTCAAACTCTGCTTCCATTAGTTTACCCTGGAAAAAGTTCTAGTGATCTGATGGCCCCATTCTGCAATGCCGAGTCTTTGAAAAACATTAATGTGAAGGGAAAGATAGTCTTTTGTGAAGATGGTGGTAAGATAAACGGACTTGATAAAGGACATTTTGTGAAGGATGCTGGGGGTGCTGGAATGATACTCATGAATGAGGAACCACAAGGCTTCACTACACAAGCTGAACCTCATGTTCTTCTAGCAGCAGCACATATCAGTTTTATTGATTTGTTTAAAGGAACTACATGTGGAGATGATCATGCTCCAGCAGTTGCAGCCTTTTCATCTAGAGGCCCTTTTCCAGAAAGCCCTGGCATATTGAAACCTGATATTATCGGTCCTGGTATTAGCATCCTTGCAGCATGACCAACATCTGTGGAGAATAATACCAACAAAAAGTCTACCTTTGACACACTGTCTGGCACTTCAATGTCCTGTCCTCACCTTTCAGGAGTTGTAACATTGATCAAGAGTGCACATCCAGAATGGTCTCCAGCTGCTATCAAGTCTGCAATCATGACAACCTCTGATCTGGTAAACCTTGAAAATAATCCCATTGAAGATAAAAGGGGCCTCCGTGCTGACTTCTTTGCAACTGGTGCAGGCCACGTTAACCCATTAAGAGCAAATGATCCGGGACTGATCTATGACATCCGACCAAATGAGTATATACATTATTTATGCGGATTATACCCAAGTAGAGCTGCTGGTTTGATTGTTTTGCAAGAAGTGAACTGCTCATCAACCATTCCTGAAGCAGAACTAAACTATCCATCCTTTTCAATCAGACTTGGATCTGATTTACAAGCATACACAAGGACTGTGACCAACGTTGGGGAGCCTGTATCATCTTATACGCTGGAGATTGTGCCACCCCAAGGAGTTGATGTGAAAGTTGAGCCTTCCACCTTACACTTCTCAGAGATGTACCAGAAGATAACATATCGAGTAACGTTTAACCGATTAATTCCAAACATTAATGCCACGCTCGTTCAAGGATTTTTGAAATGGACCTCATCCAAGCACTTAGTTAGGAGTCCAATGGTAGTTAACTTGGTACCATGAAGAAACTCTACAAGCACCTCCTCACTATTCTGTACTCTACAAGCACCTCCTCACTTGCTTCAGCTATTGTGTTAATGAAAGACAATATTTCCATAGGTTTGTTCTGAGTATATTTAAAAGTTCAATATGGAAATAAGTTGCATTGACTTAACTCCAAAATGAACTCTCCAACAGCCGCTCAAAACGTGGGGAGCATATCCTCAATCTAGATTCTTGTTTATCTCACTACAAAATACTAGTAAGAATCAAACTTCTGCAACGCATAGACCTGTTGTCATCACAAAAGTTCAACCAACACAGCAGAACTAATATGAAAGTTTGTCATTTTTAAAGAATGAAGTTCCAATGTGAAGTTAGTCTAGCTACTTCTAACACAGGTTGTGAACCACCAAGAACTAGTATAATGAATATTTTTGCAACAAAATTTACAAATTACAGTAACTTACAGAGTGCTAGGGCATTGACTTAAAGCAACAATATACTCATATGTATGGCTGAGCTAGATATATCAAGATTGCACGCACGCTTATTATGAGTAGGCCAGTGCAGGCTACTTATGTTATCTGGGTCCTGAAAGCTCAATTGGTTCAAAGGTAAATGAGGATTCTTCATGAATATCACTAAAATTCCTAGAGAAGCTGAAAGCACTTGTTTGACATATGTTGCTTCCACCTTGTGATTCGTCCACATGCCCCATTTGTTCTGTAATACCTTCCAGGATTCTCAAGACTTCCGACATCTTAGGCCGATTATTGGGGTTAGATTGAGTACACTGTAGAGCCACTTCAACTGTTTTCTCTAGTTCCTCTGCATTAAAACATCCTCTAAGATCCCTATCCGCAAGCATCTCCACTTTCTTTTCCTCAAATAAATTCCGGACCTGCAAATTGGACAGGTCGTCAGAATGAATAGGCCCGAATAATAGACATAACAAACTCTGAGCTCTATCATGTTCTGAAAATCTTTAACCCACATAAGACAGCCTGAGAAGGAAGAAAAATCATAATTGAAGAAGCATAGAACTGGTACCTTTTTTCATACATGGTAGTTCCGACTTCATGATAACATAATAAATATCAACCAAATAAGTTAACCAAGGGCTTAAATTATGCAAGTATAACATTATATGTGATAAAAAATCAACCAAATAATTTATATTCGAGGGCTTAAAGTATACAACAATGAGGTAATACACAGCAATAATGTTGTTGCACTGATCAGCAAGTGATTCAAAAACCTTGAATATGTTGTCATAAGCCCTATAGATCATGAACCAGATAATGCAGTCAGCAAAATGAACAAGATTTCGAGCAATGATTCAGAATTTAGAAACCGTACTTCTCTCATAAGATGTGGAGCAACACTAGTTATTGCATCAATTTTAGTGAAAATTTCAAGTCAAATATTGATTATGATTATGACTCAAACAAAATCCTGTTTCAAGATTAGCTATTAACCGGTTGGTGAAATAAAGTTAGAAATTATATGCACAACTATATAAAGCTTCAAACAGTAGGAGGGTCGAAGCTACAAACCCGGTCAAGAATAGTTCCTTTCTGACCCTGACCAATTCCTGCATCTAATGCCTTGTGTCCTGTAATGAGTTCCAAAAGTAGTATCCCGTATCCAAAGACATCCGTCTTCTCAGATGATTGGCCAGTTGATAGATACTCTGGGGCTATATGACCTATAGTACCACGAACTGCAGTTGTAACATGTGAATCTCTACAGTCTAAAAGCTTAGCAAGACCAAAATCACCAACAACAGCTTCAAAACTTTCATCAAGCAGAATATTAGCTGCCTTAACATCTCTGTGAATTATTTTAGGATTACACTGTTCATGCAAATACAGAAGACCTCTGGCAGCTCCAAGAGCTATATGCATGCGCTTTCTCCAATCCAAAAACGGTTTATCCCGTCCATTGTCTGGTAAATAACAAAAGATTATGTGAGAACAGAGCAAAAGATGACACAGTCACTACATCAAGCTAACGTGTTTGCGTTCCAATAATTCCAACTTGATTTTGTGTTCATACACCTAAAAATTGACTTGAATTGGTCATGCTAAAAGTTAATGACAACACGACTGTTACCTTACTGCCAAATAACAATTTATTTTGTTCATGTATATTGTAAGTTGATACCATAATTGACATTAGCGTTTCAGAAGGTGGATAGAAACTGTCACAGAAAAATTAAGCTTAATAACACGTAAGGTGGCAATAGATTGCTAGAGGCATGCCTACTTAGGTAATGCACTACATCAGGAGTCTTAATTGCAATGGATACAAAAAAAATCATATAGTCAACCCCAACTAATTTGGGTTTGATGCATTGTTGATTGAATATGTTGATAATAGATTTCATTCCACTTTCACAAGAAACATTGACAATGGAAATCCAATCTAACTATCTCAGATAATCAATCAAAAGTTGAGGTGTTTAAGATGTACAGTTAAAATATAGCACAAAGTCCTGGATTTCCATAAACCATGACCTTTCAATAGTTTTTGCCAGATTAACATTGAGAGCACTAGGAATAATTGAAATGCATATGTTAGACTTGATCAGTTAAGCATTCCATTGTGACAAGAAAAAAGAATGCTTCAGCAAAAGCACCAAGCAAATATACTTCAAAGCAAACCTCTCAAGCAATCGGCAACGCTCCCATTTGGCATATAAGGGTAAATAAGTAATCTTTCCTCGGGAGTCGTACAGAATCCATACAGACGTAGAAGGTTCCGATGCACAGCCAAGCCTATCATCTCAACTTCTGTTTGAAACTGCACTTCTCCAGTGAAAGTTGGATCTCTCAATCTTTTGACAGCCACTACTGTCCTATTTGGAAGGTATCCTTTGTAGACCACTCCAAATCCACCTTGTCCTAGTATGTTCTTAGAGCTGAAATTTGCAGTTGCAATTTGCAGTTCACGAAATGAAAATCTCTTCAGGTGGCCAGCAGCGAACTCACAATCGTGTTGCACTGCAGATAAAATGATCAGAGACTCAAAATGTATCTAGTCTTAATGTGCAAGAAATCAGAGATGTGTTTCCAATCTTGTAATTACCATATCCTGTGAGGACACGAGATCTGTACCAATGCACCCAACAAACAAGAAGCATGACTGTAACTATGAATGTGCAACTGACCCCAACAATAACAGAAACAACCCATCGATGATGATTGCTAATCCTCCTGTCTGAAGATGTTTCTGCATGGTAAAAATAGAGTTTGATTAAAAAGCATCAGCCTCGATATAATGACAAGTTCTGGTAAAATTTCAACAGTACCATTTACTGCTTTTGGCACACCCCCACAAATTTGTGTGGTCAATGCAGAGCAAAGAAATCTGTTTCCTGCAATACTAAGGCAACAACCAAAATATAAGCTGAAATAGAATACAAAAGAACATGAAAGGTTGCTAGAATGATGCCAAGGGGAAGATAATCAACAAGCATTGCAAGCAGGACAAGAAAACTTCTATAACCAGACAGTATCTCAAGGCAAATATTCTGCTTGACATTAGCATATTAGCAATATAGGAATTATACCAAACATGCATCATGGAAGTTCCATTAGACCAGGTAAGAAGATAATACTTCAATAATAACATTTGAGATATTATTTCTTTTTTTTTTTGATAATGAGATTTGAGATATTACTTTTTTTATTATTATTATTGATAATGAGATTTGAGATATTACTTTTTTTTAAATTATTATTGATGATGAGATTTGAGATATTACTTTCAGGTTTGAAAGAACTGACTGCTGGTTTCCAGTGAAGGGATATACCTCAACAACAAACAGGAATGCAAGATTACAGATGCTCAAACTATAGAAACCATAACTTTATTACGAGAGAAACACTATGTGTGGCACTGCGCCATATGGCATGTCGCAGATGCAACAATATTGAATCAAGCTTCTATTTTGCAGTTAAATTTAAGATTGAGATAAACACCATTAGTGAATAAGATTCTGGCACAGTACTGTGGCATATACCATCCTCCTCACTGTAGAGTGAAACCTGAATTCCTTGATTCATCAAACTAGATACCTGAAGGATTTTTCAGGTTCACCGACAATTGAGGACCAAACATTGAGACGATAGAATAATATTTCCTTGTATCTTACCTGTAGTCTTTGGCCAAAATTTTAGGTGTTGGACCACTTAGGTTATTGAATGATAAGTCCCTACACAACACCATCCACAGTTTATTTAACTCTCATCTAGACCTTGTATTGGACATATAAATGTCATGGATGGAAGACATACAAGAATGAAAGACCTGAAAGGTATGCCACAGGTTTAGGAATTTGACCAGACAATCTGTTCCTGCTAAGCCTCCTGAGAATTTGACACACCAGAGGATTACATACACAGCCAACAAGGGAACTGTAACATACGAGTAATAAAGATAGAACAAATCAAGAGTTTAGCTACACTCACAAGTAATTTAAATAAACCAGGCGACCCAACGCCCTAGGAATTCCTCCATCAAACTGATTACCAGACAAATCAAGGGTCAGCAGTTCAGTGAGCTGTCCAATTTCAGCAGGAATCGGACCAGATAAATGATTATTCTGCAACAACCTACAATAAAACCAATACAAAAATGACTTTATCAATCATATTAAAAGATATTTTTCAATATATCTTACAAATAATAAAGCACTTAATGTGACTCCTAACAGTATTAGTAATTACTAAACTAAGTACTATGTGATTTTAACTTCAAGTATCTCCAAGATATATGTGAGCAGCATCACATCAAAATAAGAATAAAGTGGGAAATTCATGTCAAATTAGTCTTACATCGTCCGAAGATGAGTTAAATTCCCAATACTAGGCGAAAGTGTGCCAGATAATCCCATACTCGCCATTTCACTGCCAAGAATTATATAACCAAAGCATAATAACAAATTATTTCCACAGTAAGGGAAAACAAATGGACAAAATGTAACAGAAAAGGAGAAAACTCACAGAGAAATAACAAAGCCTTCTGAAGAACAACCAACCATGTACCATGTACAAGGATCAACAGAATTTATATCCCATCCATCTAACACATGATATTCATCTCTCATTTTATTCTTCATAGACATCAATGCTGCCACTGCTTACCCCACAATAAATTTAACAAATCTTTAAGTAAAGTTTCAATCTTTACCACTCTAAACTATGAAAACATAAATAAATAAATGCTTATAAACAATGCTAAGCAACAAAGTTTGGATTTTTCTAGTAAAGTTTTAATCTTTTACCACTCTAAACTATGAAAACAAAAATAAACATATGCTTAAAATAGTGGTAATCAACAAAATTTGGATTTTTAACAGCAAAAAGAAAAACAAGAAATGGTTGGATTATAGTAAAGTTTTAATCTTTACCTTCATAGTTGACACCTTTAGGTGAAAGAAAACCCATGGAAACTGGAGTAGTGGCCACCCAATGAAGAAATGAGAAAACGAGTAGCAAAGTTACCATTTGGATCCAAAAAGCTAATTACCCAAAAGAAAGATTTTGGTGCAGAGCTTTCAGAAAAAGGTCCTTTTTAGAATTCATCATTGTACAGCACAGTAGAGTAGCACAATAAAATATATTTCCCTCGAGCTTATAAATGGGTGAAAAGTCTTGTTTGGTTTTTTTAATTTTTATTTAATTAAGAAAAGAGAATCCGAAGTACTAGTACCAATTTAACTATAAAAAATTGTTACTTGTAAAACTCTTCAGATTCATCCTACAAAGAGACGTAAATTTCTACTCTTTTTTTCTTTTTTTCATACTGTCATTTTCCTGTTTGTTGAATTTTTCTAAATGTTGTTGTTGTTTTTCCTTACTGTCATTAATAGTCCATTGAATAAATAGTCCCTCAACAAGCCAAATGGGAAACCCCACGAAATCATTGCAGCAACTAGCACCTTTTTAGTATATCATAAATGGATATGATATGATATGATGGAATTCTATAATTTCAGTTCAAAATCTTAAAATTTGTATTCAAATATGTATAAAATTTAGAACCCAAATTACTAATCGTTAATATCTCTATGATGCAAATTTGACTTATTCGGATAGATAAAATATATTTTCCTCAAAAAAGAAAAACTTTTGGGAGGAAAATAAACCGAAAATAATAGTCTTACTCATAATACAAGTAAATTGTAATACGGTAAAGATATACGTTTGGACCTAACATAACTTCAAAAAGCTAAAGATAAGCTACTAAATATATGACGTCTGAACTTAACTTATGAGGAGAGGTTAATCCAAGTCTATATAAGGAGATTATTTTCCATCCCTTACTGATGTGAAAATTCCTCGACGAGGATTCAACATCAGTAAACAATCATGTAAAGATATAGCAATCGAACTAATTCAACTTCAAATATTATCTTTTAAATCATAAAAAAAAATTGTCTAAACTCGTATAAAAGACGTCCTCTACCGGCGTGAAAATTTAGTAGTGATTTTAAAAGTGGGGTTGGAAAAGAAAATTAAGGCAAAGTCTTGAGATCTGGGGAGTGTCCCCTTGTCTTCCGTAAGAGGAAATCAATAGTAGTGTGTTTTCCGTATGAGATAAGCAACACTGTAAGGATAGTAAATCATTGGTTGGGACTGTATTTTAACCAATTAAAAGAGAAGGTATTGTGGGGGAAGAAGCACCGAATCATTTCATATAATATAAGTTTTGAAGTGCGAGATACTTTGACCTTTACAAAATGAAACAGACAACTAGTACGGAATCCCATACACACCCAAAAACTATTTCTCGTTAAATATAATATACACCATTAGAATATGTATCATAATATTTATTTCCTTTTTAACAACATAAAGGATCATATTTACTCTTAAAAATATTTTTAATTATACTTATTCAATATATTTGTTTTTTTATCCAACTTTAGATAGATATTTACCTTGTTCTTGAAGAGCTAAATATTACTCCTCCATTTTTATTATTCTATGGTGACGCTAACATATGATTGGTTACTAGTGTTCCCCTGCCGCCAAGCCAACACCAACTCTATAATGCTTTGACTTGTGTTCATCGATGGTTGATAAGAATTTCATGTGAATTGAACGGTAATTTCGAAAGGATAGCTACGGGATTAGGGTTTACGTATTTTCACATTGGGTGGGTCGGGTTTTATTTGAGTGGGTTAGGTAAAATGTTAAATAAAAAGTAACTTTAATTATATTAAAAAAAAATAGTAAACATGTAAGTGCCACGTAGGATAATAAAAGTGGTGGCATAATACTTAACTCTCCCGGCAAATATGTGACCAGAGTAGATGGTAAGAGCAAACATATCAAAAAAGTATAACTAAGGGTAAATATAACTCTTTTCTAAGAGTACAAGGACAAATATGATCCTTTATTGTTTTAACAATAATTTATTTCTCATTACATTAAAGCTCAACTAATTTGTTGCATCTAGTAGATCTTGCTCAACAATCATTACATATAAGTTTTCTAGTGCTCGCTATAGGTGTTTATTGTGGGGTTAGTTTGACCCTTACAAAATGAACCACACGAATATCATTTTTTGATTCTTTTACGACTATACAGACCCATACAAACCCTTTTATATCGTTTGTGCTTAACTATGATATTTGACTATTGTATTTATAGCTTATTTTCTTTAATTTCATAATAATATTGTAAGTAGGTATATTGTATAGAAAAATAAGATACTTCCTCTTATCTACTAATAGTTGTCCACTGTAAACTCGACACACTCAGTCAAAAAACAATAAATAGTAAAGAATAATATCACTATAAGTTTGTCATGAAATGAAGAGTAGAAAGCATCAAGAATTAAGGTTTAAATGACAAGATGCAACAAAATAGATACGTTTGATTGATCATAATCACATAGAGCAACTGTAACACAAATTTGCTCGCAACTCTTTTCAAAGTAGACTGCTAAATACAAACTGAAGTGAGATATAAACTTACGGGAAAAAAAAATACTGCCCTTTCAAGTCCTGGCAATCCTTTTGGAGCCTTGCAACTTGTCCATACATATTCAAACGTGTCCCCGGAAGCTTTCTGGTCAATTTACTACTAACAAACATGTACAAAAACATATTTCCTTTTCACTAGTTGGCTACTAAGATGGGAAGACTTTGAAGAGTGGAACAAAAAAGATAATACAAAGTACAGAACTAAAATGCACTGCAGCCCCATTACATTGTCCTTTTCGACCAGGATATACTGTCGCTGTCATGCTGGACTCCTCTGCTCTGGAAGGGGTGTCACTTGGATCCCTTCATATATAGATCATAAACTAGTATACTTCACTAAACATATACTTCACGTCATGTCGCCGTGGGATGCAAAAAGATGCAGGCCCATCTGTCTTTTTATATGGTCTGGTATCAACCTGTTTACGAGGTCCGGAGAGGCACCAGATAACTGAAACCAGGAAAAATTAGGGGGATAAGCAATAGAGTTAAGTCAAGAAAGGCAAGTACAGAATGCGTAACTTCATAGCAATACAGTTTTTCAATATTAATGGCCTTGACATGCTTCTAAATTCTAATGGACAATTGAAGATGGCAATTCCTGCCAAAGATATGCATAGTTAAGTTGTGCTTTTCGTAAAAATGCATGCTTTAACAATTTTCCGCGTCCTTGTAACTAAAATGCTGTTGTGACTAATATCTCCTTCGTAACCAATAAGAATGAAGATAACTGAATAATGAGGTTATCCTTTACAGATACATATTATCGCGTCTTTCAACCAGGCCCCAGCAACTTACAAAGATACTATTTTTCGAGGGAGTTCAACTCTTCAGGCTTCTCCCTGGCCCTCTTTTCAGTAGATATGGAACTAGGATGAAAGGGCCTTCTTTCATCAAGACTCAGTGACAGTGCATAGCTTCTTTAACAATATACGCACCTCACTTAGTTAGATCCTGTTATCTGACATCATGGTATTGGAAAAAAGGGCATTCCTGTAGTCAAGGTGTAATCTCAAACACCTCAGAGTCAATCCACCCCAATAAATATACTGACACAGTCCACCAGAGATGTTTCTCACCACTAGACTAGTCCACTTGTTCTCATTATTGACACTAATTTAATCATCAGAACTTCTTAGCTAGAATGATTTTCACCCAACCTCTAACATAACTTTCTAATAAAATCACAAGAACCTCAAAGGCTTGTTTCAAAGAACAATACAGAAGGACCACCATTAATCCATTAAATCCAGTGGTATTGTTATGTTGTATAAACCTTAACGTTATAGTAGCCCAACTTATTCTTGGTCAATTAAGCATTGGTTCAGTCCATTTCTTAGAAGCCTAATCCACCCCAGCTACTAACAAAAAAAGAAACAGAAATACTCTGATGACCAATGGACCCCCTCTTCTTTGAGTTCGACGAATGGCTGCAGATCCTTTTATCAATCATCAGACATAAGGATGCCTGTGAGTTTCTGGCTTTTTGTTTCTTCTCCCTTTTCTACTTCTGTTTTCTGTCTCAATCTCCATCTTCGTTGTACTCTCAATTATGCCTTCCTTAGTCAGGGAACCATTATTTTTTGCCAAATCCAGAATGAGTATGTCATCGTGTCGTATCAACACCAGTGGCCGGCAATATCTCTAAGAAGCATAAACTTATGACATGCTAGATTGCATTACCCTCATCAAGCTTGCCATTCCAAAACACCAACTTTAAACATGAGGCCCTGTATAAAGATAATTCATTGCATAACGCATCCATGCTCTAGAAAAAGAATGTGCTCGCATTCATTTTCCAGTGCACACAATGGACTTGGATCAATAATCAACTATTACTACCAGCCACAAGGTATCAGAAAATGTCTCCGCCTTCCAGTGGGTTGATGGAATCAATCATTCTAAATCTTCGTTAAGTACCAAACTGACTTCTGGCCTTTGGGTAATCTGAAGAATTTAATCACATTGAATGCCTACTGTGACTACCCAGGAGTGCTCTTCAGCTGAGATCCGGAAGAATGAAGCATGGATGGTACAACCTTTAATTTAAGAATAAACACATGAAAGCCGTACCTCCTGCTTAAAATTGAAGAGAGGGGGCAATGGGCGACCATTGGGAAGCCGTGCATTTGGTTCACGAAGTTCATCAAAGAAAGGATGAGCACATGCTTCAAGCTGCAAAATGAGAAGCGTATTAATTGAATAGATTTAGAGATTCACTGTTCAATAAACAAAAAGACAATGAATGAGCTGAGCAATGGTAACAAATCAGTAAAAACAACACAGAGATGTGGGAGCATAAAAAGGACCACAGAAATGGCCACCCCGAATGGAGACATGGTAATCGTGCTACAGGAACTGTTGTTTAAACGAATTACATCAGGAAAATAAAATTGAACTTACTGCAGTGCAACGTAGACTTGGTGAGTACTGCAGTAGCCGAGAAGCAAGGTCAATTGCTTCAGGAGGCATCCGTTTGTGGAAAACCTGAGACCAGACATAACAAGTAAGTTAGCAGCAGATCATGATGTACACGAGCTCGGAAACAACAAAAGAATTTATTTGCATTTTTGTCATTAACATTGTTTTGCA